GTTGTTCATATTATCATTTTTATATATTTCAATTTCTATAATCATTATAGAATACTCAATATTTAGAATATAAATATCATTTTGTAATTTACCATAACTATTAAGATTTTATCAAGATAAAAAGCCACAACAATTGTCCTTAATATTAAAATAATTTATGTCCAAACATGAAATTTATTTAATGCTATGGTAATTGTGGGTACAAAGTTACATTTCTCTAATTCTAATACTAAACCTAAAGGCAATGGCAAGAAATATGCTCGTACAGGTAATGCAGCAACATTTGCTCATTTTCAACGTGCAAGTCATCTTCTCTCTTAGTTTCTGCACATTTATACAAATTCATCATTATCTGGTATCAAATACCCAAGAAGTTAATGCAGTAGACATAAGCCTTGCAGTTTCTTTTCCAACGATCTATAATTCGAAAATGATTATACGGGTCATTAAATTTGGTATTGTCCTTATTCGCTTTGACTGTCTTAGCCATCGTGGTTGATTTCCTAAAATATCCTTTAGACTTTCCTAGAGAAATCTATGACTAAGATTTGCCCACTACAAACTTAGATATTGTGTTTAACAATCTTAAGTATGTTCAGCAACTCAATGAGTATGTATTCGAATTTATTCATGTTAAATTCATAATTAGTCATGAATAACTCTCTGGTAGAGATGACATAATCAAATCTATAGTTAATTCATGGTTCATGGTTGAACTCAATTGAGACAACTTCTTAATGTAGTCAACGTCTTCATTACATGAAAACCGACTGAAAATTCTTCTGCCATTATGCATTGGTATAGTTGTTAGAAACTCTCATGTCTTTCCACACATAATTGTTCATCATTCAACATCATGAGATTAAAAATCATCTGTTAGCATCTATACTCTTATATTGCTTTTATAACTCAGATAACATGGTCACGATCATTATACATTTTGTAATACTATCATCATCATTGTATTTCTTATAGCAGTCACATCTTCCGTTGTCGAGTCATCAGCATATGTCTCTAGAAAGGGCTACTCAAGGATATAACTAATTTTTTCATACTTGAGAATAATTCTCAAATTGTGATGCCAATTAACCAAATTTGGTTTGGTTGTTGGCATCCAGTATGTTTTTCAAATACATATGGTTACTCATGATTCAATAAATGTAAATGACGAAATTAGAATTCAACTCTAGCTACAATTGAATAAATATTTTAATTTATGATAAAACTCCTAAATAAAATAAAATTCAATTTATGGTCAAAGTTCACTATTTAAGTTAAAATCCAATTTTAACGAGCATATAAAAAGTTCTCAATTTTAAATAAAATTTTAAACGGTAATTAAATATTTAATTAAAGTACAACTCTAATTTAAAATTGAATTAACATTTTAATTTATGATAATACTCCTAAATAAAATAAAATTCAATTTATGGTCAAAATTCAATATTTAATTTAACGAAAATATAAAAGTCGTCAACTTTTATTTAAATTTTATTTTGGGTCAAAATTGATAATATAGGTCAAAACTCATTTAAAAATCCAATTTAAAATATTTTCAATATTTAAATTCAAAACTCCTTTTGAAATTGCAATTTTACCCTCTGTTTAAAATTATAAACATGAACTTTCAATTTTTCGAATTGCAAATAGGCCCTCCTCTTATTATTTACAAACTAACCCCCTTCTTGTAATTGTGGGTGGGACCCCCACAATTTCACAAATTGTAATAGAGGCCTCCATCCCCAATTTGAAATTCACTCGAATGAAACCCTAGAATTTTTTCTCCAATGCCGCCCCTAACTGAAACCCTAAAATAAATGAAATCAGGGGAGGCCTTTGCCGACATCACCCCTCGTTAGGGATGGCAAAAAAACCCGACAAATCTAATACCCGCTGGGCCACGTCCCGAACGGGGCAGGGAAAACCCGCTTAAATGGGTAACAGGGCGGGGAATTTTGCCCCGAGGCGGGTTCAGGGTAGGAACGGGTAACGGGATCCCCGCCTCATTAAAAAAATTTTTTTTTTTTAGAATTCAATACTTTAAATTAAAATTTTCATTAGTTCTAATAAAAAAATAACAACTAAAATTATTTGTCTAAATCTAATGAATATGGGCAATAAAAATAAATTATCAAAAACTAAAAAAAAAATAATAATAAATGGAGAATAAACGGGGAAATGATCTACCCCCGCCCCGACCCCGCCTTAAAAGGGTAATGGGACGAGGACGGTCCGCTTCCCCCCGTTGCCATCCCTATCCCTCACTGCAGGTAAGTGCATGTCGCCTTGAAGCAGCGAGCGCTTTTGCCGTAGTGACGACAGGCACCAATGGAATACGCAGCGATGCCCATAGTCGTTGCGTGCGCAGCACTGTGTATGTGTGGCACGATGTTGCGTGACACCGCACTGTGTGATGCAATGCGTGGCTGCCACCTAGCACGGTCGACGACCGTTGCTGCTGCCAGTTGTGGCCACTTGTTGCTACTTCTGATCCATTTTTGACCAAAAATAAATTTTCTCTTAATTTGTTTTTTAAAGATGAACAATAATTTTCTCAAAAGTTAGAAACAAGAAAAATAGGAACAATGAACTTTTAATTGTTTAAAGATGCAAAATAGATTCTAACAAACACAAAGTAAGTTCTGATACTACTATTGTGAATTTATTTAGCATGCACAGCGAAAAATAAAACAAATTTCAATTCCTACCAAAGCTATTTTTTGTTTTTAGAAAGAAATTGTAATATAAGTAGTACATTTTGTAGATTTTGCAAACTCCTTTGCTAATTTTAGAACACGAACAATCAAGATTTTCAATCCACATATGTCTAATTATCCAGCCTCTAATAAAATTCCACACAAAGAACAAGAATTAAAGAATTATGGTTGTGTTAGCAAAAATATGAATTGTGTTATGTTGTTTTATGAAACCCAAATGACTTATTAATATAAGTCCAAATGGGTTTGGTTGTCTCTTAAAATTACTTCAGTCCAATATTTAATTTCAATTAATTAAATACGGTCCATGAATTAATTAATCCAATTAATTACTTCGGGCATATTAACAAGTAACCCGATTAATTAATTGTACAACACTTGTTAATTAATTAATTGAAATCTCATTCTTCTAGTTCTCCTTTTGTGTGTGACCCATCAGGTTCTCGATCATGATACTTAACGACGTAAATTATTATTTTGATATAATCAAAATCGATAAATTAAAAACTCATTTCTAAGTTATCATCAATTCACATCCATTGTCCCAAATTAACATCTATCAATGTGTCGGGGCAATCCATGAGATGAGAAATGTCACGTGGGTATGACGAAACCAAACTTGTTCGTTTATCGTAAAACTATAATCCTTTCGTTAATATGATCCGATCAATTACGAGATATGGATATGTATCAATATCAATTATCAATCATATCTTTCATCCCACTATTAAGTTAATGTAAGTTGAAAACTTCTTTCGACTTATGAGTACACCTTGGCCAACGATTTCATTATCAACTTAATTGAATGAAATGTATGTCATAATCACTTACTATCTAAGCGTGACGAATCATTTATCGATCATTCACAACTTTCATATGATTCTTGAAATATCCGAACGATGCCGTATTAGAGACCATTGGCAGAGCAACATCCAATATCACCAAAGTATGACTGTCCTCATATAAGGCACTATGATGACTTCAAGTCAAATGAATAATTTCACTAACGAACGTTAGATATTAACTGCTAACACTCAGATAGTTATTCGTGTGGAAACTCCCCAACAGGTCTCCAATATTTTGTTCTATAACAAAACATCCACGTTAATTGTGTATCATACCAAGACATTTTATTAGAGTGGGGGGAAATGATTCACATAATTTAGGCTCCTTCGTAGCTAATTTCAATAGATTGTGCTTAATTGTTTTTTTTTATGAATTGTTTCTTTATTAATTGTAGGTATTTGACTTAGTATGATATGCAATTGTCTTATAATTAAACTCATTGGAGGATGCTAATTTGAAAGTATGTTGTGATCATCTTGACATTGTTCTAAGACTTGATGGCAAAGATTTGTTTCAAGAGGTAAAAATTTTGCAAAATCTTTTACCAAAAGACAACTTTGATATATTGACTTATTTGAAAGGATTGGATTATTTTTCGAATACATTTATTACTCACAGAATACTATTGGCAATTCTTGTTACTGCTGCGTCTGTCAAAAGAAGTTTTTCAAAATTGAAGTTATTAAGATCTTATTTTCAATCAATCATGTTACAAGAACGATTGAATGGACCCGCTTTGATATCTATTGAATAGGGTTGGATAGAACATATTGATTATGAGAATTTAATTAGTAAGTTTGCTTCTAAAAATCCGAGAAGAAATATTTTTACATAATTTGTTGTATTTCAAGATTTGCATGTAGTATTTGCTGTATTTGATTTCAATATTTGGTCATATGGAATTTCAAAAAGAGCTTAGTGGCTTCGATGATTTTTTGTTCATGACATATGAATTTTGATGAAGTGCAAGAAATGTTTTTGAACTTTACTTGTATTTTTCTTATTCGTAAAAAAAGTAAACAAATATTTAAATGTCGTATTTTTGTAATGAAATTATTTACTGGAATATTTTTTTAAATTACATGAAAGGGGACCTATTTTAAAATGTCATACAGGACACCCAAAATCTCAAAGTCCATTCTACATACAGGTGCTCCATTTTTGCTTCACCAATTATGTTTGTACTCGCAATATCTTGAAGCATCATATCTAAAAGTTAAACGTGCTTTAACAGTTCCGTAGTTTACAAAAAACTCAAAGTAATCACCCTTCTTTCACGATGAACATGTTTAATTATTCAATCTGATTTCAAACTTAAAAACCAATACACTCCACCAATTCCGATTCACAATTTCTATGATTCTTCAAATGATAAAGTTGGCAATTCTTGCCAAGAACAACTCTAATAACACTATGCTGATCAAACTGTAGAAACTACTACGTTTTTTTGGGCAATGGCTCCCCTTGCAAAAATGATCTGAGAAGTTGAAAGGCAGCTCTAGGCTTGAAAAGCGGGACCTCATGACCCGCACCTCGAACCGTTGCGAAAGTTAGCCCTTTATATACCTCTGTCCAACCTCCCACCTAGCAAAATAAAGCATGCATTGCTTCAACAATGTTGTCTCCCTTAAAAACTTTTCTCTCAAACCCGGGTTGAAAACACTGTAGTCATCTAATAGTGTCGTTTCACTATGATCACCAAATGCTTATGCATATTCTATTGAATTAACAAGAATGTTGACGTCACTAACCGAAAAATATCACGTGGCATAGAATAAACTAGTCCAACAAGGTGCGCCGCAAAATAAAAATAATGCACTAACAGATGTCGTATGCCACGTCATTTTTTTCGTTGACCACACCATGATCATTTCCATAACTTCAATAGACAGAGTGCTGAAACGAAAGTAAGAATTCAGTGACTAGTTTTCCGGAAAATAATTTGTGGTGACCGAAGTGAAACAACGCTATAAGCTGATTGAGCAACACTATTTTAAACCCCCTCAAGTTCTCAAGATAAGACAATGGACAAACATTGACTACAATCTAGTCGAGCACACTAAGCATGCTTATCGGGGTTTTATATAGAGTACTAACCTGTTTCTTGACATACCAAGGATACCAAGGAATGGTGGTGTCTAACTTAAGTTGTGCCAGAGAATACCTAGTGGCTGTTACTGGTACAACTGAGTCTACATCCCCACTGAAATAGCAATTTAATTGAAGTAGTTAAGAAATGAACTCCAAATTTTTTGTTAATTTAGTATTAAAAAATATATAAACAACGTGAAAATGAAATATTCCTACCTAAAAACCCAAATTCGCAATCCAGCTGCAATTAGTTCTTTATATATTGGAAGAATCGAGTCATCCGTGTCCTTCCAATTGCGATTCAGAGTTTCACTGTTGGCATAACGTAAGAATTGAATCAACTAAATGATAGCATATAGACAACTTTCACATGTTTTTGAGCTAAGATTAGTCCACGAAAAGAGTCAGAGACTTATAAAAATTGTCGATATAAAGTTTTCATAACAATGAAGAACCGAACATAATCAATTTTGACCGAACTGTTATGACATGTTTCTTATGCATAACTCAACAAGACTGGACGTAACAATAAACAACATTTTAAATTTTATTAATGTGGAAACTGTCTTGGACAGTTGCTTTTCCTCGACTGGTTCCATGTTAACAAAATATCTTTCATTCTTTTGCCAGATATAATACAATACCTGCAAGAAGTCCATTTGTATGGAATTCTGGTTGTGTTTGCATGTAGGGCTTTTTGAACATCAGGCCTATTGTAATATATTTCAGCATATTTCTCTGTACAAGGATCATACCCTGATAGCTCTTTAAAAACCTGACAAATGGCGAAACAAAACAATGTTAAAGAAAAATAAGTTAAAATCTTGTCTTTGTAGTGTATAACTGCATGTGCATAAACGATAGAAATTATAAAATTCAGTACTCGGTGAGGTCTATGGGGCAAATGCATTGTCCGACGGGTTGCACCAGTACTACCATCGGAATTGTTGCAAGGTGGGGCATAAATGTTGTACTGATCAATATTTCCGAATTCTTGATCCATGGCGTAATAGTATAGTGATTCACACTCGTTCGATTCCTTTTGTTGCCTGAAATCGCAGGTGCTGATGAGTTGATGGTACGTCTTATCGGAGATCATAGCATGGCTCCACCAGTATGTCACTGTCCCCAAGTTATCATAATAGTTATCCGTGACTGCATTCCCCACCTGCATTTTGACAATCATAAGGATTCGTGCAGTCAACCTTAAATTTATTGAGAATACTTACGATGCTACATAGATGAATTACCATAAATCCCTTGAGATTTATTTTGTGCTTTGCCTTAGCGTTATGATTCACTATTTCTCGAGCCAACTGAGGTACATAATGGCCAGCGTAGCTCTCTCCTGTCACATAAACATCTCGGTTTTTGTATCGTGGGAATCGCTTCATCCATCGGATAAGAAATTGCAGTGAGTCTTTGGCTGAAATTAATTATAATTTTTCCTTTAGAACACAATTATTTTTTCCTATAAAAATTTCTAATAAACCAAAACTATCTAGTGGCGTCCAGTATTGTATACTAAACACAGTGTAAGTAATTAAAACTAACATGCGTCAATACGTATAATGAAGGGACAAGATTTATTGGTCATACCAGTAAGGCGATCCCCAGTGTTGAGAAGATCAGAAGAGGTGTTGCTATAAGAGAAGCCAACCCCGGCTGGAGTTTCTAGGAACAATAAGTTTGCCAATTTGTTCCAAGAAAATTTGTTGAGGTATAAACCTGAGGCCGTCTTGTTGATCCTAAACGGCCCTACTTCTTCTGATGCACCATACGCCACAGATGAGCATCCAGGACCTGGTTTTGAGGAACAAACTCAATACAAATATATAAAACTATAGCACTATTGCAGCATTGAACACAACATTTAGAAGGTTAAGTTGAATGCAAATGGAAAATGTAACACGACACGACACGACACAACCTGATCCAACCCAACTCGACCTACACGACTAGTGAATTTGTTGTTTACTAAAAATGTTGGTACAAAGAGTTATAATTTGCTTTTGTAAATCCAATATTTGATTTTAAGAAAGTAATAAAACATTATTTCAAACTCTAATTAATTACTAATTTGGAATTAACTTAATCTGAACCTCACAATTAACTCAATTCTTAATTTAAGCCCCCAACAAGCCCAAGAGGAAGTTCAATTCCTAATGAAACTTTATGAATATATATATATTTTAAAAAAAAGTATTTTCAGTCTTTCAAATATATTTAGAGTTTTTAAAGAGAAAAATAAAATAAAATTAGCATTTTAAAAGTTTCCAAACACCTAAAATTGGACAGTCTAACTAATAGAATTTTATTTTACTTTTTTGAATATTGTTGAGTAATATTCAATAAAGGTGAGAGCATCTCAAAAAGACTTTTTAAACATGAGATGTGTTGAAATATGCTGTTTTTCTCTGGATTGCTTCTCCGTTGAACGTTATTGTCGATCACGACTTCTCTTGCATCTCTGCTCTTCTCTCTACAATTCAAGATGTTCCATTTTGAAGAGGAAGTGTTGGAATATTTCAATATTAGATCCCTCTTCTAGATCATTCTCCTATTTGTTATTAGATGCTTATTCTACATCCTTTTCTATTTGTTATGTAGTTAGTTAGTCAGATTTTACCCTATAAGTAGAGCAATGCATTTCCATTATTACTAGAGCTTTTGATAAATAATAAGCGTTCTTCATATCTTCTTCATCAAGTTCCTTCAATATAGTTTCTATATTGAATCTATCCTTTTTATTTTCTTAATAAGATGCTCTTTATTTTAAAGAGTCAANTATAATTAAATGCATTGAAAGTGTTTCAATTTTCAATGTATGAAAACAGTAAAATAATTTTAAAAAAAGCTAGTTAAAGTAAAATATAAAGAAAAATAATAAATATTTTTTTGGAGTAGTAAAATTAAGTGTTAATATAAAGAGCTGTTGGAGTATTTTAAAATTTTAATTCTCTAAATTTATAGATGTTCTCCAAATGATAGAATATGCTCTTTAAAAATAGAAAATCTCTTGAAGATGCTCTAATATATGCAAGCGACAAAATAGGTGCCATGGATGAATTCAAAATACTGTTAAGTTGGTCAATCTCTTTTTTCTTTTCTTTGTCATTGACTGAAGGCTGATGTCACTGTTTCTATACTTATTTTGAGGCTAAAATTTTGCTTACTTCACTACAAAATTCTTGCAGTAAAGAGCCCAAAATTTCTGCTAAATTGCACAGTGATCCTCACTCTGTGTGTGTGCAGCTATAATGAATGACCTTTGTCTGGTGCACCACGCATGCTGACAAATTTAATTGTTCAACAACTTCTAGTAAATGAGTCCTGTTTTTAGTTAGTTTCCAGCATTAAATTTATGTGACTACTCCATGCCCCACATATATGTATGTATAATAGATATGAGAGATATAAAATGAGTTTGCAGTAACTAGGGTTAGACGGTGGTCAAGAATTGAGTCAAAGAGATTCTAATACTGCTATTTAGTATCGGTCTAAAATTTAGTGAACCTCATTGATTTATTGGAATAATGGAGTCCACCGTCACATAATCTGGAGAGAGAATGAGTCGAAGAGATTCGAATAATATTATTTAAAATCAATCTAAAAAGTAGTAAACTTCGTTAAATCATTGAAATAATGAATTAGCGGGGTCCATTATTGCCTAAATTGAGTACCTATATCTAGGTAACGTTATTCTACAATAATGAACTTAAGGCATTATTATTTTCAGCTTCGTGAAAAGGGTAGAAGTTATCTTTAAAAAGGGCAAAAAGAAGAAATTTTTCAGTAAATTTCTCATATTTAAGTTCAAGCAAAAAAACATAGAGAGAGGACACAAATACATAGTTTTAATCTACTACATCTTGGTGCATGATGCAGAATCCCACATAAATGCTAAATCATCTCGTCTAAAAGTTAACGGTTAGAGAACAAACACGTTTATTTATTAAATTTCGCTTTCAACGGGTGCTTAATTGTGTACAGGCTGGAATCAAAGGCCTAACACGCTCAATTTCACTTGAACTAGGGATTGTTGACCTACTATATTGAACCATGTCCTCTAAAAACTTAAGAGAGAGAGAGAGAGAGATCTAACCTCCATTGAGCCAAACAACTAGGGGTTTCTCCAAAGGATCTTGAATTGCCTCAGTAAGCCAGTAAAAGAGGGCTCTACCTGCAACTTCATTGACAGTAACATAACCAGAAAACTGCTGAAATGTGACTTTGGGTTGGCCTGGTAGAGCTTCAATTCTGTCACTTTCTTCTTCTTCTGTATAATTGCTACTCACATGTAATGCAAGTAAAAGAATTGCTATTATAGAAACAAAAATCCTTTGTTTTTCCATGATCAATGGCTATTAAGGAAAACAGCTTCTGCAACTAAATACAAAAGAATGCCCTATCTAGTTATTTGTACTATGGAAAGTTGAACACATAACTGTGTAGTCTTCAGTATGAAATCAATAGAGAGAGAGAGAGAGAGAGAGGAAGAAAGAAACAGAGAGAGAGAGAGAGACACAGAGAGAGAGAGAGAGAGAG